ATATGCATGAAAGTAGAGTGTAGTTTGACATATTATACATACATGGAGAATAACTTCTTCTAATTCGGATCCCTTCTGAGGTTGTGCATGATGTAGAGTTTCACTAGTCGTGTATTCATACATATGAACATGGAAAAATCATGTCTGATTCCTTCTATTGTCTTTCCCATTACCATCCCCCTCCCTTCCCTTCATTCTCTTTTGATCCAATGGACTTCTATTTCTTCCCCTCCCCACTCTCCCTTGGTGTGGATTAGCATCCACAGATCAGAGAGAACATTTGGCCTTTGGTTTGGGGGCACTGGCTTAGAGAGTTTGTATTATATGCCCCACTCTGCAACTCAAGACACTGAGGCGATTACAGAGGATGATGAGGGGACTTAGCTAAGACTGGGCAACTGATCAAGTGGTACACCTGGGACCCAAGCTCAGGTCTCCTGCCAGAGCCATTTGCTTAAAGGAGGTCACCCAATCCTGGGGAGCTCCTTGCTGTAGATCCTTGCAGCTTTCAGGTCTGGTACGAAGACACCAGTTTTTCTCAGACTAAAACCTTTTATCTCAAGACAGGAGGTTTTCCTGTTATTTCTACCTCTCACACACAGAGGGCCATCCCATGGAAAAATTGATCATACAAGTAATCCTTTGATACCACTATTTGTTCATCCCAAATATTCCACATCCCTTTTCTTTTCTTTCCTTTTTTCCCCCTAAGTACTTGTTATGACCAAGCCCCCTTTGCAAGTCCCTAATATCCACAGGCTCCCTCCAGTTTTACTTTATCAAAACTGGGCTTACAAGGAAAGATTCAATCTATTGATGTATTGGTGTAGCTTCCTGCCACCCCACTCCCGCTATGTGCTTTTTAATAAGGAGATTGGCTTCTCTAGTGAAGAAAAATTTCAAGGAACAGATGCAGAAGAGGAAGTTTTAAATTAGGGTCACCTTTTTTATTTTACCCCCCAACCCCCACCCAATTCTACCGCAAGATGTACTGTGCTTTCGCCAGCTTGCCTATAGCTGGGACATCTTGATCTACCAAGTTGTGAGAGACCACCGACAGGCATTCGTAGGAAGAGCTGTTTTCTTTGAAAGTAATGCAAGAATAGGTCTATGGAATGCTGGCCTCATTTGGTTTCCTCGGGGGAAAGAAACAGGGTGTTTCTGCATTAATTAGAAAGTTCGAGAGGTAGGAAGAGATGAAGGTGATGGAGAAATAAGTAATTGCTGCAAATAGAACGTTGACTATTTATTCTAAAAGTGTCCCCAGTTGGGGGATGGGTGGTATACAATGTGGCCACTGTAATGAGAGGGGCTCCCCAGAAACCAGTCACATCTCCTACCTCTGTCCCTGTCAGTTCTTCTAAACACCCAGCCTACTGTATGCACTTTATCATTATCACCTACTGCACCTAGTCTCTCCCCACAGCTGGAGACCAGGAGGCCACATAAGGGGCAATGATACATTTATCTTATAAAGAAAAGCTATCATAACAGATAAAATTATAAACCCAAAATCTGGTAGATTTTCTTAATAGGTGGAAAGGATCAGGGCTATGTGTAATAATATAATAGCGTAAATATATTTTTTTGTTGAGTATCTAGTATGTTCTGAGCAAACCTGCCTCCTCTGATTCATAGCCACCTAACAAGGGAGGTGATATAGCTATAATTTTTGATCCTCCATAGAGTTAAGAAGCTAGGGCTGTGTGGCCAGCCTGCTTGGGTTCAAATCTTGATTGTGCCATGGACCTGCTTTGTGGCCTTGGGATAGTTACTTAACCTTTCCATGAATCAGCTTCCTCTTAAAATGAAAATAATAATGCCACACACCTTTCGGGCGGGGCGGGGGGGGGGGATTCTCAAGATCATCCTCAGGCCCAGTGAGTCAGTGTTCATCATATAGTCATACCCACAACTAAGTTCTATACATCAAACACACAACTAGGTTCCATTACATCAAAAGGCCATTCATCAAGACTCACAAAGGGAAAGGCACATGGAAAAAGCCAGGCACGAGCTACCAAGAACCCCATCCCATGAAGTCACACAAGACGCACGGAACTTCTCCAACAATGAATTATGACAGGTGTGAAACATTGACCTGGGAAGCTCATCAGAGATTGAGTTGGGAGCTGGTCACTTAGGCACCCTCTACCATATGCCCAAATTTCAGACTCCAAGAAGGGAAACAGGTGCTCAGCATAAACATCCATGGCACACAGAGTTCCAACATGGCGCACCTCTATTGTCATGGAATAGTGGGGGCGCTCTACAATATCCCTGATGCCAAGAAGGGCCGACCATGCAAGCAGACCTTCCAAGGACAGCAGTCTCAGTCCCCCATGTTAACTCTTTTCTGCACACAGCCTTATTAGATTGTTGTGAAATTAGATGAGTAATATGTATCCATTGCTTACATCAGTACCTTACACTTGGCTATTCCTTAAAATGGTCCCCTTAAACCATGACCGGAAAATGGAGATAATGGATCTCTCCATTCTCAAGTTCACAGTGGATGAATCCCTTACCTACAGCTTGACTACACTGAACACATAGCTCCTTAAGCCTTATCACACTACGTTACAGGATTCTCATTGATTAAAATTATTCTTAGAGTATACTCATATTCTGGAGCCTTAATGCCTCACATGAGCATGTTTTGGACTTAGGACAATCTTTTTTTGCTGTCCTTTATATTTTAGGATATGTATCCATAATGCCCCCAAGAATTTCTTTTTGTAAGATCTAGATAGTAAATTTCACATGACAACTGAAACCATCCTATAGGCTTAAAAAATTTTCTGGAAAAAAAAATTCTTTTACCCACGCTCTCCCCATGGAAACCCATTAATCCATTTTTACAGCCAATTAAGGGAGTATTTTAGTTTTTTTTAAAGTGGGAGGATTTAGAAATGGGGCCAGGGCTAGAAGAATCCTTTGAATTTGAGATAAATTTAACAAAAGATGCATCATCAATGCAGATTGCCGTGTGGGCACAGAGTACAATGCAAAACATCTTGAAGCAATAATTTATTTTAATGTTAACACGGTTAGTTATTATGCATCTGTCTATTCCAATAAATGAAGATTTTAAAAATGTCTTGGTTCTGTTCCCATAGAGCCTAGCATAGAGCTCAAACATGGTAGATGTTCAATAAAGTTCTGTTCCACTGACACCCAAATCCTGATGCATTTATGTAAAAAAAAAAAAGAGGCCCATCTTTGAGCATGATGGTTTACAACATATCCCAAGTGAGTAGGTGGACATTTCTTGGATGACTATAGCAGCCAACCTAGGGCCGAATCTTGACACCTACACAAATTTCTTCTTCTAATGAGAAAATTAAGCAAGAGAAGAGACCTAAAATGAAAGCATAAGTGAATGGGGTTGTTGGATATCATTTGAAGAATAAGCAATGGAATTTAGATGAAATACTATGTGAATTTCATGGGACAAGGAGGTCAAAGCACTGGTTACTGATAGCTGGGCCTCTGGTCACTGCTGAATGACTTAAGATGTGCAAAGGAGAAGCAAGAGGCAAAACACACGGGAAAGAGGAAAAGTAAGAGATGAGAGATAAAAGCAGAGTGATGCTATCACAAAGTACCCAAGTCTGGGTGGCTTACAAACAACAAATTTATTTCTCACAGTTGTGGAGACTACAAGTCCAAGATCAGGGTGCCAGCTTGGTTGCATTCTGGTGAGGTCCATCTTCCAGACCTGCAGGTGCTGCCTTGTCATTGTACCCTCACATGGCAGGGAGGGGGCAAGAAAGTTCTGGGAGGTCATTTTTATACGGACACTGATCCCATTCATGAGGATTCTACCTTCATGATCCAGTCACCTTCCAAAGGTGCTGCCTCCTATTATCGCTACATTGGGGGTCAAGTTTCAACATGAAAATTTGGCACATACATAAGAATTCAGTCCAGCAGCCAGCATCACATGATTCATGAAAACATTTTTGTTTCCTAATGCACCTCCCTGGATATCAGTGCTTCTGCAATGCTCCAATGAATTTCTCTCCCCACCACGGCATACCAGGCTTAGCTCACATACCTGCATTTTCTTGACATCTTCTCTTGAACACCCCAGCCCACTCCAGCCTCCAGTGATTTCTCCTTCCTTGTATGTCACACTTTCCTTGTCCTAAGGGAGTGTTCTGGAACAACCTGGTCCCACGGAAGGAGAACTGGCCCCAGGTGCCATGAGACTGAAGAGGCAGACAGATCCAGGATGGCACAGAGGGCAACTTATTAGGGGACTTACTGAGAAGCTCCGGGCTGGGTGGCAGGGGTGAAGTTCAAGTGGATCCCTGCAATTTGGCTAAGAAAAGAATATACACATATATGGAAAAATGACTTTATCTTAGCCAATTTGTACCTTTTTATCTTAAGAAAATGTCAGCCAGGCACATTCCTGGTGCCAGGGTCCAGTTGTAAAGCTCCATATGCCATTCTGATGGTTTGATTTATTTATAGTTTGCTGGGAAACCGTGCAGGAAAAATTACAGCCACCTTGGGGTTACAACTCAAGACGAATCCAGTTTCTTTTCTTCCAGTTTCTTTTTAATGGATCCACACTTCCCCTTTTGCATGGTTTTGGACACTGAGTCTTGTTCCATTGGCAGTGTCCTGGAATCCCAGAACCAGAGCTGGGAAGGAGTATTCTCCCTGCACTGAGTGACCTGCTATCAACCAAAGCCTACAGAATTCTGCTACCATTAAATGGTTCAGCTATGATTACCACACTGACCTGTGATAAGAGGACAACATCCTCCTTCTGTCATGATACAGGCAGAGATTACAGAAGACTGATAACTTTGTGACACAACTGTCAACCACAGTGCTTCAAGATATGGTCACCCCTCAATAGCATGAAACGAATCTCAGGAGACTTGACTGTCTCTGGTCACCAAAGGGAACACCAACATGTCAAGAGGTCTCAACCAGAAAATGTCTTCATGACAAAGACCATGTTTAATGGGTGGGATGCCAACCTTATATGCTGGATCTCCTTCAGACCAGGGCTACCATGTGGCAACTTGTTTGGGACATCATGAAAGAGAAGAATGTTCCACTCTGCCTCCTCGTGGTTAAAGCAGCTCTTGAGGAACTGCTGAAACGACTTCAACCATCAAGGTGGAGGAGGAGGTCTAGAAGGACACAAGGAGAAAGTAAAATTGGCACAGAGCATGAGAAGAACTTCTGGATCACTCTGAACTGTTAGATACGTAGTTATTTCTGTTAACATGAATTTACCAATAAACAAATAAATAGCCAATCCTGTGAAATAGGGGCCGGAGGGCAGTTCTCTCCAAGCTGGTGCCAGAACATCAGGCCAATGTTGCCTCCAGACACTTCCTTGGAAAAATCCAAACGTAGCAACATGGCACCTGTAGACTCCTGGGAACACTGCCTTTGCTTCTGGGTTCTTCCAAGTGTAAACAGAAAGGCTTTATGGAAAGTTCTGGTTTGTTTCTCCAATGATTTTGTTTCCCAGAGGTAAACATGGATCCTGCTCTCGACTCCCTTCCTCCCCTGCTAGCTCTCCCTCCCTAATGCATCTGACCTTCAGATTCCTGAGTGCTGCTGCCCCATGCAGTGGGGACTTTCTCTTCTCTCCCCACATATAGGGATTCTCTCAAGTTCTCTAAGCTATTTGGACTCATTGTGTTTCTTAACAAAAAAAAAATTTTTTTTTTCAACCCACCATGAGAAAGATGAACTTTGAGGACCACTGAGTTTCCCCCTAGTAGTGAGAATGTACATCTGGGGCCACAAACAGTCTGCCTTTCCCATTCTCTGATGCCTGCAAGGGTGTGAACTTGGCCCTTCTCTCAGTATTTGAATTTCCTTGATCTCTGTGAATGGCACGAGTGGGTTTCAATCTCTCCTTGCAGTCACTCTTAATCACCCATAATCTTTCCCCTGTGGGACAGCACACATTTTGTAAATCAGGAAAAACAAAAATGTCCTGATTCCAAGACCAGTGGCAATGTTAAGAGGGACATGCAGGTCACCTTCCCTCCCTCCTCCAAGTGCCCTGCCCTCCATGACCTACCATGTTGTGAAAGCCCAATAGACTCCCTACAAGGAAAGTGTCCAGTGCACAAGGTTTCTAAGTGGAAAACTTTTGAATCCTCCCTTGTGTTAATTACCTAACAAGACAGTTTCCTGTCAGCAAGATTCAAAGGTGTTTCCTGAAACACAAATGTCATTAACACAACACAAAGAAGATTCTGGATGTTTCTAGAGCACACATGGCCAAGCCTCCTAGACCAGTGTGCACCAGGGGACAGTTCTGCTCTGGCAGGCATCTCTGCCCTGCAGGGGGAAATGCATGCTTCCTGCCTTGCTGACTACCACTGGGCAATAGCTGGGCAGCTGCCGACGACTGTTGAGCAGTCACTCTGGAGAAGGGACCTGTGGGGACCCCTGAGTGGGATGGTAGATAAGGCTGCTTTTGCACCTTGCCACAGACGTGGCTCTTCAGTTGGGCTGATTTTATAGAACTGATTTAGAAGAGATTATTTCTCCATAAGCTCAGGTTCTGGTCAGAACCAAACCCTCTCTGCAGGGAGGAGTTGGGAAGGTCGTCTATTTCCTGCCTGTTCGACACACATCTTGTTTTCCTAGCAAACGTGGGACTGTAATGCCAACGAATTGACTGTCCGTGTCACCACCCCAGAAGCAGGATCTGAAATAGAGGGAAACTCTCTTTCAATTCTATGATTGTTATTTGTGTTTGTTTTCTGAATGCTGTTTCTTATTTCAACAGTTACATAAAGGCTGCAAAGCCACTTAACCATCTGAATGTTCCTCCAGAACTTGGACCGAGTACCCCCTATTTAGTGGCTAATGATGGTCAGTGGTTTCTCCTCCTTTCTAACTTTATTTGGGGTGTGTCTGGCCTTGAGGTCTGGGTGGTGGCCATGATAGGTTCTGTAGTCCAAGAAACATTTCTTGTACTAATGAGGGGTGGAAAGATAGTGCCAAGCTGCCCGCAGCTGTTCCAGCCCCAACAGAGCCCCCCAAACAAGGCAAAGGATGCAGGATGACTGGGTGCCTTGTCGAGTCAGAGCAGAGATCAGAGTGGTCATCTGGAGCTTGCAGAGAAACCATGACAAGCTTAGCCACAGGAATAGAGAGTTGGAGCAACCAGAATTGCTTGCATAACATCCCAGCAAATTGATTTAAAAGCTTAAATACAACAACAAGCTAAAGAAAGCCAGAGAGGGATTGGTAGAAGAAAATTAAGTCTTCTGGCCTCAGACAGTGAAAAACAAAGCAAAATGGAGTCTTTGAGTAAGCCCAGTGGACTTGGCTGGAGGCTCCAAGACAGAAAGAAGCAGTTGCTTCTATGTATTCAGCATAAAGTCCCTAAAGCCAAGAGCAGGAAATCCTGTTGTTCCCACCCATGTTCTCAACCACAGTTCCATGAGACAATACCCCTTAGATAGCCAGTAGCAATCTTTCTCACATGCTAAAGGGTGTCGGCCACAAGATTCTTTAGAAAGTCAGTAGAAAATAAATGATAAATGTTTGAGGGGATGAAAATACCAATTACCTTGATCTGATCATTTCATGTTGTATACATGCATTGAAATATCACATGGTACCCCACAAATACGTGTTATCGTTACTTAGCAATTAAAATTTTTTATTTAAATTTTAATTTAAAAAAAAAAGAAAGGTGGCTATCACCGAAGCCTACAAACCCCTTCTCCACTCATTTATTCATCAATAATTTGCTAAGTGCTTTGGGGGGGGGGCAGGGAAAGGGGAGGGTACAGTGATGACAGAATTCAAAGAGACCAGGCAACTTACTGGAGTTGGTGGTATAAAATGATGCTACTGAATGTAGCCAATACCTTCCAGGAAGTGTTTTAGAAATGCGAATTTCTGGGCCCTTCCAGGTCCTACTTTAATAGAAACCCTGGAGATGGAGCCCAGTCATCTGTTTTTTTAAAGAGCCTTCCTCTTGATGCATGGAAAGTTTGAGATGTTCTGGAACATGGCTTCTGGAACAGTGATGTCTTGGCCATTTGTGAGGTGTGTGGAAAGTAATTTATTATTAATCATAGTTAACATACTGACATTTGTCAATAATTCATATGTGTGTCACCTGCAAAGATTTTTTTAAAAAGATACAGTTCCCAAGCTCCACCCAATTCCAGGGGAGCCAAAGCCTCCAGGGGTGGTAGCCAGGAATGTACACTGTTTTAAAGTTCCTCAGTGGCTCTTAGGAGGAGAAGCCAGGTGCAGGAACACTGGTCTATAAGAACCATTTGCCTCTTAACAAAGAAAAGAAAGCATGGCATTCTGGAGGAGGTCCCTCGGTGAGCAGGTCCTCCCTCCCTCCAGCAAATCTTAGGTAGATCCCTATTTTTAAAACACACAGAAAAAAAAAACTCCTCTGGCTACAGCAGAAAAGGGTGCTCAGCACCTTCCCCTTCTGGAGTGGCTGTGGTGGCCCTTCACAAATGCCTGCAGCTCCCCAAATCATGACTTGAAAACTACAGCTGGTTCTCCCACCGCACCCTCCCCCTGCCACATATGCCCTATTTACTGATGAAGAAACTGAGGTTCGAAAAAGTAAAATGACCTGATCAGACTAGAAAAGCACATGAATGACCATCTAGATTTGCCAGGGACTAAGGGGTTCCCAGGGCAAGTGACATTCAGCATTAAAACAGGGACAGTCCCAGACAAGAAGAAGAGTTGGTCTCCCTAGTGCAGAGCCTATCCTCTCCCACAGTTCTTGCTCTTGGGATAGGTCTGTATGATGCCATAATACTGCAAGAAGAATCAGATTACTATTGTTTTCTTTCTAACAACATTGTTTCTATTCCCTCACTCCAGAAGGACTTAAAGGAATAATACCATCGATTTATGTTTTCAAAATACTCTTTGTACTCTTTCCTCATGGTCATGTCAGCTCCTATTTTACAAGTTTTCAGATCCAATATGCCATATAAATCTCTCTGGCTTCTCTAAATTTCCATGATATTTGCCATCATACCTATTGCAGCTTACCAAGATCTGTGTTATAAATCTTTAGGTTGCCAGTAAAAGATACATAACTTCTAAAATCTTAAGTAAACCAAAGGAAGAAGTATATTGGTTCATGCAACAGAAAAAAAGCTTTGGTTGCAGCTGGATCCAGGGGCTCAGTCTCATTAGCACTTGCTCCTCAACACACTCAGGCTGCCTCTTCCCATGTGATAGCAAGATGGCGGCAGCTCCACAGGCCTCCAGTGCTCTTAGCAACCCAGCTGCCTTCATCTCGGCACCAATAGCTTTTGCCGAAGTTCTTAGGATCAACCTGTGACCTAAGATAAAATCAGTCTAGTCAAGAAAAAAAGAAAATGGCAAGAAATTGGGCCAATTAGGACCTCAGTGCAGGCCAACACTGATTCCTGCAGTCTTGAGAATGTGCTCTGAGGTTTTGCAAGATGGCAGCTGGGTTTATAGCTTTAAGCCACAAGGGGGCTGGTAATGACATCATTTGTTAGACAGGGATTATGATTGCTGCTGGCAGAAGTGATGTTGGTTTATGAAAAAGAGACTGGGTACAGCCTCAGACTCTGGGTAGTATGGGGCATGGGGTCTGTTGTATACAAGGTCAATAGAGATTAGTGTTATTTCAAAGGTCATCTTTCATGCGTTTCTGGCCCAATCCAAAGGTTCAGTAGCAGACACGTCTGAGATTTGGTTTGACAGTAGTCTCTCAACTATTTTAAGTGCCCCAAATAACGCTATTCCATTTTATTTTATTTTTCTCCTCCACAAAACTTCTTTGGGCTGATTTGTGACATGTGCCCATCCCTAAATCGGTTACTGCCTCCAGGACAATGAATTACTCTGGCCAGGCTGTGGTCATGTGCCTTCCCGTAAACAATTACTACCACTGGACTACCCTGATTGGCCAGGCTTTGGTCACATGCCTTCTCTAAAACAATTACTACCTTGCTCCAGGACAATGAAATACCCTGATTGGTCAGGCTGTGGTCATGTACTCACACCTACAACCAGGGACTGAAAATAAAGAAAGATGAATCCCTAGGGGAAAATCAGAACAGGGTTCCCAAAAGCAGGGTTGGAAGGGATGCTGTGTAAGTGAAAACATCAGATGTCCAGGAAGTCTTAAAGGTGCTTATATGGAGCCACAATCCACTGCAAGAGAACTGATGGTTCTGTCCGATGTGCAAGGCCCCATTTCCTTCCCCGTGCCCACCAGCAGAGATCTGAGTACTCTGCATAACTCCAAGGCCATCACTGTCTGTTCTGGTTTTTAAGACACAGATGACATTTGGATATAGCTTGCAGAAGCCCAGTACCAAGGGGATTCCACCACAATCATGCCCTGCCTTTGAATGTCCTCCCAGACGCAGAGCTCCTGCAAGTTGGGGGTGAGCGACTCGTGGCCCTGTGCTTTGTTTGGCCCTACGTTTTCCAGCTGGGTCTGTGACTTGTGAATTGATCTTTTCTTCAATACATCCCATAGAAAAAGAATGAAAAGCCCTGAAGCTCTCTCTTTTTCTTCCTTCCTTTCTTCCTGTAATTCACAGGCAGGGCAACTGTGCTTTGTTCAAACAGCATTCTGCAGTTGCTTGGCAAGTTCTGACAGAGCTGCTTGCTCTATTCTTCAAGTTCTCTGTTAAGTCAGGGGTAAAGTTATACCTTGTGGCTAATTTTCAGACTGTAAACCTTACCCCTTGTTAAAGCTGAAATCTTAGATTAAATCAGCACAAAAATGCCAGCTCCCCTAAGACCCTTGAATTATGGCCCTATATTTTTCTTCCTGTCCTGACATTCATTTAAGACCTTTCCAACTTTTACAAGTTGCTTTCTCTTATCCATTAAGAAGCAGTGTTTTGAACCCTTTTAAAGCAGTTTTCTTTCCTTCTCGATCACTGTGACCCTTTTCCATCTACCGTGTGTGTGTGTGTGTGTGTGTGTGTTTGGGGGTCGGGGGTTGATGTGTGGTGCTCCGGATTAGACCTAGGATTTTGCACATGCTAGGCCAGTGCTCTACCACTGAGCTACACCCTCAGTTTGCACTCATTTTATCTTATACATATTCACATAGTGTATTCCTAAATCCTAATTGGGTAACTAACTGGCCATTTTAAAGGTGGGCTTCAGGAATGTTTATTTGACCAATTAATAGACCTTTCCATCATTTGGACTCTAACTAGTAATGGAGACAATGCATTCCTTTCTGTAACAAAGACCCATAGTTCTGGAGGCCAGAAGTCTGATACCATTGTGCCCGCAGAGCCTTCCTCCCTTGGAAACTGCTAGAAAAAGATGCTGACAGCCAAGGAGTTCCAGGGCTATTTATTCTTTTCCTATGGGATGCATTGAAGACAAGACCAAATCACTTCAGTCTGCCTCCATCTTCACATAGCGATCATCTTCTCCCTGTGTCTCTGTCTTCACATATTTTTCTCTCCTCCTCTTATAAGAACGGTGGTTATACTGGATTAGGGATAATCCCCAGGACTTCATCTTAACTTGATGGAATCCACAGTGAACTTTTTCCCCATTCACAGGAACTGAGGATTAGGACTTCCACATTCCTTTTTGGTGTGTCTGTGTGTCAGAGTCGGGGGTGGGTGGACACGGTTTAGCCCATGGCAGCGAGGAAAGAGAGAATAAGAGATAACACAGGAGCAGGGTGTGACTCTCTGATCTTGGATAGCCAAAAGGAAGATCCTCTCTCATGTTTTCCCAGGATGTTTACCCAGAAAGATTTGGGACCCTGATAGGAACATCTCAAGATAGAAGGAAGGGGCCTAGCGGAGGCCGGGGATCCACTGGAGGTCAAAGTCAAGAAAGTAAACATGCTCCAAGATCCACTGTGCACTTAGATCCTTAAATAGTGCTGCCAAATCCTTGCTACTATTCTCAGCAGATGGGGAAACTGAGGCTCCAAGTAACTAATCAGAGTGAAACCATGTATCACTGTGAGGAAGAGCAAGACCACCATTGTCACTTCTATCTTTTATAGTTATTAGTGTGTGCCATTTGCTTTTGGGAGCTCAGAAAATGGTACCCCCCAGCGGAGGCCTCAGAAGTATCCTCTGAAGTGAATTTTCTTTTTCTCCTGCCCTATTCTCTGACGCTTCCCCTTCTTCCCTAAAGCAAGCCACAGAAATTAGAATTCCTCTTCCCCAAGGTGGGTCATAGAAACCAGGATCCATTTCCTCCAAAGCCAGTCATAAAAGCTGAGAATATTGCTACAACTTTCCCCGACCTTTCTGTAAGACTTGCCGGAGAAAATAAAGAAAGATGAATCCCTAGGGGGACACAGCTTATTTAATTATAGGTCTTAAGATCTGGTTCTAGAGAAGATCCTGCCCCTTACCTAGGAGGTCAAGAAGAATCTAAGCAAATTTTTTTCCCCCTCAATCCATTACCACTAGGTCATACCTTTTCTACCCAATCTTATCTCTACATGGCCACCCATGCTTTGTCGAACCTACACTAAAAATGGATAGTTTGCCCTGGGTCATTAGGTCTTCAGTCTGAAGCTTCCTGTTACCCATAAAAGGACGGTTAAGTAAATGTCTCATGCCTTTGCTCCTATTAACCTGTCTATTGCCAGGATCAAATATCAAACCCTTCAGTGGGAAAGTTGGAACTTCTCCACAATACTAAAGACAAATCTAAAGAGGAAAGCTCTAGTTGTAAGCACTATACCTATGAAGAAGCAGAAACTCAGAAAAATTAAGTCACTTGCCTGAAGTCACACAGATATTAACCAGATGAGCCACATTTCCAGCCCGGGTCTTTGTGACTCTGGAGGCGCTTCTTACCATATTGCCAATTTGACTTCAAATTTACATGGGTTCAGAGTAAGATGCTGTCAAAAGAACCCTGGTAACTGGACCTGGAGCTTAGCAAAGCAAGCAACATGTAAAGAGAATGCTCCTGGGGCAAGAGGCAAGAGCAGAGAGAAAGTGGGTAGCTAAGAGGCAAAGAAAGGTGGGCTCACTGTCAGTGCAAACGTCCACCCTGCACTCCAGGACTGCTTTCACCTGCTCCATCTATGCCCCAGTGGAACCTCTGTGGTGTAGACAACTCACTTCTCTAGAGGAGAGGTAAGAGGGAGAAAGCTGGACTTTCCAAACCCCATGCTTCCCAAGAGAAGTGGGGGGCTAGGCTTGTCAAGCCTGAAAAGAGGAAATGGGATGGGCAGGGAGGGTCTTCAGACATGGAGAACATTGCTCTTGGAACCGCGGGGACCATGCCTGTCCTCTTGGATGCAGCTTCAGGCTCTGTTTGACAAATATTTTACTTACCATGTGACCTGGCTCACAGTGGAACGAATGGTCCGCTGATGGGACCCCTGAGAGACTTGAGGACTCACCTAGCATTCTCTAACGGCTGTACTGTTCACCACCTTGTCTCTGGGAGTGCAGGGCAGGAAGAGTCTCCTTTCTTCTCTCTTTGCTAGGTTCATTTGTCCCTGGGACAAAATCCAGCCACAAGAAAAAGTCAGGCATGTACATTTGATGCAAGCTTTCCCTGACACAGAGCCTCAGGAAGGAAAGAGACAAACAGGAAAACTTGTGCATGTTCATGCTTCTGTGTGGGGAAGAGTGGAGAGGCACGGAGGAGCATGAGTGGAAAGGGGGTGGGATCTGATGGCAGTGAACTTGGGATCTCAGCCATGTCTGTTGTTGAGATTCTTCTCAGTGTCCCCAGGTCTTCAGAGATAAGGATGATCTTCTCCTCCAGCTTCAAGGAGGCCACCTCTCACACGAGGGTCTTAGGTCCTGCTTCAGAGTTGGGGAAGGTAAGCGCAGCCTTCCTGCTTTCTTAAAGGCAGCGGGTGCCATGTTTGGAAGTGGTGTGCCCTGAACCTGGTCGGGAGGAAGTCCCACCTCCTTGGCAAGGCTCCTCCTGGTGGGGGAGTGGGGGGTCCACTGCCTGCTCCAGCCTCACTCCCACCACCCCTCACCTTGAACTTCTCACTTCAGGCTGGAGACTCCTGGCCATTCCCTGAATAAGCACTGAGCACAGTTTGTCCCCTGACCCTGGCTGGCTCCCTTACTTCCCTTCCCTTCCCTCTTCCTATCCTTCCTTTCTCGCCTCCCACCCTCACGTGCACATGCTCTAAGCTCTTCCTGGAACACCTTCCTTCCCCCTTTGCGTCTCCTTCTAGCTCACTCCTTTTTTTTTTTCCCTGCAAAACTCCACTTCTCAAAATCAAATGGGCATCCTGGGAGGTGGTGGGTATGCTAATTAGCTTGAGTGGTGATTATTCCGCCAAGTATGCATACAGTGGTCCATCAAGTCGTGCAGAATATTTTGTCAGTTATACCTCAGGAAAGTTGGGGCTGGAGGAAAGATTCCACCTCTCCCAAGAAGCCCTTTGACCCCCTAACCCTGGGTGACATTCCCTCCCCCAGGCCCCTCAGCCCCCTGAGTGTACAACTAGACTGTGTTTATAGGTGCGTCCCAACTGCTTATTGACATGCCTCTGTGAGATCAGAGACAGGATCTTGCTCAGTGTCTTGGCGAAGTCCCTTCAGCACCCAAGCATCTGGCACCAAGTAGGGATTCCATAAGCCAATGATCATGTCGACTGGCTGAGGACCCTGATGGGAGGACAGCCCCCCTGACCTCCAAGATCCCACCCACCCCCTGCACCCATGAGTCTATATTTCTGTTCCCACAGTTAGTTGGAGAGGAAATTGCCAAAGCCAGATGACGACGAGACTTTCGTTTGGGGTTGCCCAGGTCTGCAATTTGTAATCAGGGTGTTTGAAAGACAAACAAAACTGAGAGAAAAACATAGTTTTGATGAGGCAAGACTTGCGAAATGATTAGTTGTGTAACAGTGATGGTGGCCTCTGGGACCACATTTGGCCACGCCCAGATTATTAGACTTTGTATGTAACTGGGTCAGCCTTGTGTATGGGTTAAGAGGACAATTGTCAAAATAGTGATTTGAGTGTGCAAAGCCCCTTCTCCCTCAAGCTATTGCTTTAGAGCTCAGCCTGATGCCAACATCCTCATCTTCAACAATTTTTCTTAAGACTGGACATAGGCAAAGCTCAGATGTAAATAAAGCCACCGCTCATTGGTGGATCCCCTTGGACCCTTTGACTGTGGAAGCTGATTGTCCATGAGTCTGCTTGTTAGGTCACATTGTATCGCCTGGACTAGCTCCCAAAGACTGGGAACTGGCGATTCATAAGACCAGTGTGTAAACTGTTCATTGTCTTTTTGGAGCCAAGAGATGCTCTGAGTTAAATCAGGGAATTTATCCAATAGTTACAAATAAAGAAATGGAGTTTCAAGAAGTGACTTACCCAAGTTGCAGCTCATAAAGATAAGATAAATGGCCTGCCAGAGAATCTTTGTACCTGGTGGTCCTGGCCCCTGCTCTTCTGGTGGAAGCAGGGGGTCCCAGGATGGGGCTAAGGAGTTGGGAAGTGGAGGGCCGAACACAGCAGGCTGGGTGAACCTTGCCAGGAGAGCCCTTGGGGGCACTGGGATGCAGGAAGGTGGAGGTGCAGGGCTGGGCGTGGAAACGGAGCTGGTGGTGAGGGGCTGACACAGGGGAAGTCGTGGACTCTCCCCAAGGAGGCCATGAGGCTGCCCCTGACTAAGGAGCCCTGGGCTGGCTGCTGGCTGCTGGCTGAGCCTGGGCTCCAGAGAAAGAAGGTTTTCACACCTTCTCCACATGTGCACCCAAGAGCTGGGACCCTGCTGAGCAGAAACCCAGGGCTGCCACCTGTAGCAGCTACTGGCCCGTGATCAAAGCAAGCCAGGGAGCCTTGAAAGTGTCTTAAACTCCTGTGTGCCCAGCCCTAACCTCCTCCCCCACCAGAGTCCAGGCCAGCTGCAAACAGAGGACCATCTCTATGGAGATGAGTCAAAGAAAGAGCCAAGCCCTCTCTGTCTGCGAATTCTAGTGTGTCCATTATAATAAGGTTTATTCTACCCGGTAAACAGAGGGGACTTTGAACTCACCTGGGGGCCTCTGAGCCTTCTTAGAACCACACAACAAAAGCAAACCCTCAGATATTTACTTCCTTAATAAAAAGCATTGCTCTTGTGGGTGGGTCTTTGTCAACACCGGTCTCCCTCATTCTTTACTGTTTAAAGGCTATCTTCATGATTATATGGAATAGGAGGGCTGGGGAAGTCAGCTAAACAAGTACCTACGGCAGAAAACTCCCTTGTAGGAAACACAAAAGATACCCTAGATAGGCTCAGGTAGTAGTAAATGCCATAAAAAAGTTTAAAGTGGGTGACATGGTGCAGGAGACAATTTAGATAAAGGAGATCTCCAAGTCCCTCGATGTGCAGGGTCAGAGCCTTCAGGCAAAGACAGCAGGTGCACAGGGTGTTTGAGGAATAGCAAGGAGGGCCAGTGAAATTGCAGGTCATGGACCAGAGGAAGGGACCAAGAGATGACCGGTAGTTGTTGATGTCCCATCTGTCCTGCTACCTGGCCTTTGATCTCAGCTGAAAATCCCTTTCACTCATGCTGCTCCATTTATACCCTACTGAGATTTACAACACAGTGTATGTCACAGTACTGTGACTTTGTACTCAGAGGAAAGGCCTGTGGATGAGAAGATAACCCTCCCCCCCCCCAGGAAGTCTCTGGAACCAGGGGAACGGAGGGCTACAAATAGGATCTGTCTTGGATGACCACCTGGAAAGGTGGCTCCAGTCCAGTGTTGCATGACAGCGGGGGGGGGGGGGGGGGGCAGACCCTGGGTCCCCAGGAGGGGCTGCAGTGGCAGGAGGGGATTCTCCTTTAGGGTCTTCAGAGCAACACACACACATGCACACCACATATCTCATATTTGATTTTCCAGTTCATCCTCGTACACCAAGACAGCTGCACACACAAGTGACTTTAGACTCTGAAATTCCCTCTCACTGCCCAAAGCTACATAGAATCTGCATGCACAATAAGTCACAAGTGCCATGGTTTCTCATTACTCAATTTTCTTGGCTCGGGTTCAAAGTATTCATCAGCTCGTCTTCTCCATCTCTCCTCCTCCTCCCAGTTCTCGTGGGTGGATTGCCTCTCTGGCTCTCTTCCTTCAGAACCTTCCACTTTACATAAACTCACTCTCACCCCCTTCCCATCCTGCGGGCCCTGACCCCTCTTCCCAAGCCCCCTTCTCGGTCACCCTCTTCCAGACACGAAGCTCTTTTAGAAAACATCTTTCCTCGTTACCTCGTTAGTGTCTTCTCTCCTTCCACAAGAATTCCCGCAGATTCCTTCCCTTTGCGCCGAAAGGGCTGACTGCTGGCCTTTACAATTCTAGAAGCCAGAAGGACTTGGAATGAGAAGCACGAATACTCCCACTCTCCTTCCTTCCACCCGTGTGACCCAATTCTCAGGGTTGGTTTTTTTTTTTTTTTTTTTTGAATACTGACTCTAATGGAAAGGGTGGGGAAGGAGGGATACTGGAAAATAGTGGAAAGCAAAGAAGGATGAAAAAGTGGTTTTTTTTTTTAATAGTAAAAATAAAGAGACAGGGTATCTTTTTCTGATCTACAGAACTACCTGGGCTGATATTCATGATAGTGTTAAGGAGATGGGGGCCCAGGCCTGGCTAGGAGCCAGGGCACAGTCCCAGGCAGAGTGGGCCCCATGTCGGAGTGTGGGATCATCTGTTTTCTGGGAATAGACATTCTGTCACCTGGAACGCTGGAATTCAGATTGCTCTTTCCTTTGGAAAGGTGTGACACTTGGGAAGCGAAGGAGTGTGTTTTCATGGGGTGCTGCTGCTCTCTTGTTTACCTTCTGAGCCTCTCTGACTGTGCCCTCCCTCTGCAGGATAAACATCTCCAGCAGGGTGGGTGGATCTTGTGATAAAGCGGACCAGGTGGATTCTTTTCAACTGTCTGTAATCTGATGCTAAATGGGACGCCTAACTCTGAGGCCAAATTCATACTCGAATATTGTGTATTACAAGTGCATCTCAGATATTTTTGTAGCCAGAGATGGGTTGGACTGGAGTGTCATGAGATCACTCTTCTAAGAGTTCATATTTCTTAATTCCCTGAGAGAACCAGAGAGGGGTCTCTCAGTAGGTTATTAAATGATGGATAGCAGACAGCTCACCCCTTCTCCTGTGAGCCAGTCCCACTTCTCTCCCCTTTCTTGCCCCAAATCTACTGGATGCCCCTGGCATTAATGAGTGCAGTAAGGATATCTGGGGTATATTCATAGTAAACATCTACAGTTTATCTCAGAAACTTGCCAATATAGCTAACCCAGATGCCAGCTCCTGGCCCCTATATCTCGTTTATGAACAATGTCGTTCTTACTCAAGTTTCTTGCCTGAGTTAGACTAAAATCTGGTGTCTCAACTGTCATAACATGTGAGTATTGTGTCATTTTAGCTTGTCCACTCACTCTTTAAAGAAAACAAATTCATTCATGTATTTCATTTGTGTACTCATAAAAGATTTGTTGAGCACATGTTATGTACCAGGCACATGATTGGGTTCACAGCAACGAGCATTACAGGTAATAATACTTGCTCACATTGAAGTCACATTCTAGAAGGAAAGATAAAACAAGATAAGTATCTAGTGTGCTAGAAAATGTGTGCTAGGGAAAGATTAAAGATAAAGAGTGTTGGGGTATAGCTTTAAATAGGCTACTTGGGGAAAGACTCACTGAGGAGGTAACTTCTTTCAGGCTTTATAAAAACGGTATTGTAATTTATCTGCTGTAAAATTTACACATTTGAAGTGCACAGGTCAATGACTTCTGTTTTTGTTTTTTTGCCAGGGATTGAACTCAGGGGCGCTTAACCACTAAGCCACATCCTCAGCCCTTTTTATTTTTATTTTGAGACAGGGTCTCACTAAGTTGCTTAGTTACTGAGGCTGATTTTGAACTTTTGATCCTTCTGCCTCTACCTCCCAAATCCCCGATATTACAGGCATGCGCCCCACACCTGGCTGATGGATGACTTTTGACCTATGTATGCATTCACTACTCTGATGAATCTATAGAAAATGTCCATCTCCCCAGAAAGCTCTCCCTTACTCTTTTATACTCAATCTCCCACTCCCAACCCAACTCCCAAGGATATGATTTACTTCACTATAGATTAGTCCCTCCTGTTCTAGAATTCCACACTAATGGAATCCTACAGGACTTTGTAGCTTCTTGTAGTCGCCTTGAGCCTTGTTATCACATTTATCATTAGTTGCATTTTTTTAATAACTGAACAGTAGTCCATTATACAAATATACTATCATTTATTTATTCCGTCATTTATTATTTTTCCTGCTCCTTATTCTTTCTGTGCTTTCTATCTGGTAGTATTTGCTAAAGGAAAAGAATGCTTTAGCACTTGTTGTAGCTCAGATCTACTGGTCATGAATCATCTCAGATTTTGCTTATCTGGAAATGTCTTTATGTTGCCTTCCATTGGAAGACTACTCTCCTCATTGCAGAATTCTTTGTTGCCAGGACCTTTGATTCCACCCTTGAGAGACATTGTTTCATTATGTCTAGGCTCTACTGTGTGTCTTTATTCTCTGACTGCTCTCAGGATTTTGTCTTTACCTTGGGGATACATTAGCTCAACTTCAATGGGTTTTCTTTATCTCCATCCTTCTTGAGCTTCTTGAATTTTTTAAACCATTTGTTTAAGGATGTGGAAAATTCTTGGCTACTATTTCTTCAGACAATTTTTTTCTGCTCTCACTTTCTTCTCTTTCTGGAACACCAATCCCAAGATTGTTTGATATTGGTCCTCAGCTCTTCCACCCGCTGTTCATTTTTCCTTCATATTTTTTCTCTCTGTTCCTCAGCTTTGATCATTTCTACTGATCTGTCTCCAACTTCACTATCTCCCACATCTCCACTCTGCTGGTGAATCCTCCAGTGAATGATTCACTTCGGGTATTGCACAACTCTAGAATTTCCATTTGTTTCTTTTTATGGTTCCCATTTCTCTGCTAAAAAAAATGCCTTATCTATTTATACATTCGGACCACCTTTTAATTAATGGACATATTTTAATTACTTGAACAAAGCATGTAGGTTTTATAATCTTTTATTTCCAAAGTCCACCATTTGATCCCTTATGGATCTAATGTTGGTTTTGTTTTGTTCTTTTTTGGATGCTTTTGTTTTTTATTATCCTGGTGTGTTGGTTTACATATCTAGTGATTTATGATTGAATACTGGACACTGCTCAACAGAACCTCCTGCCCTGATGAAGGTGTTCTATGTCCAATAGGGCAACCACAACTCAACTCACCTGTGGCTATTGAACACTTGGATGTGATCAGTATAACAGGAATTTTACATTTTACTTATTTTTGTTCATTTAAACTTAAATACTCATATATTTACCCTCCAAACTACTCAATGTTGCCATGAGCTCTAATCCCTGACTCTTTGGCTCCGCTGTTTTACAGTGCTCTATGGAACTTGGCCTTCCAGGTGCACATCTGGACAACCTCATGCCCACCTCCCCCAGGTATCACAGTATGGCGCTGTTATTATTGTCCATTGCCTGAAGACAGTCTACTGTCACATATCCTGTCTAGTTTCCTAATTGTTACAGGGGTTGGGCTAGTCTGACACAAGCACATCATGGACAGCAGACTTAGAGTGGTCCTCTTAAATAACAATATGAAGAAAATGAGAAATATCTGTAGAAAGAGTTTCAAACAGGGGGAAGATCAGTGGAAAGAGGCAGGAGGCAGAAGCATGTCCAACTTGTCAGAAGAACATGGCTGAAGGTCAGTGAGGAAAGGACGGAGGGGAGGATGAAGGTCAGAGAGGTGTGGAGCTGGGAGGAGATACTGCTCAGCTGTGTGGGTTATGGGAAGAACTCCGACTTTTACTGTAGTGAGATGAGAACCCACCAGAAAGTTTTGGTCCAGGAACTGATTTGGGTTTTAATGGGATTCCACTGCTATTGAAACAGATCCCCAGTTATAGGCTGTTGACATCATCTACCTTGAAAATTAATTAAACTTCAATGTTGATGACTGGGTTTTTATCAATTTTCGAGTTTAGAGCTCATTAAGAGAGAGATACCTTGGTGTAAGAACCTGTTCATCTGAAGCTAGGTTCATTTTGTGTCTTTATTTCTATGAAATGGATATGATAACAATGCCTCTCATAAAAATATTGTGTCAATTACAAGACAATTCATGTAAAATTCTCTAGCTGGTGCCTGATAGGTACGTAGTAAACACTCTGTGATTAACTATCTGAGAATCTGAATGTCTGATGATTGTTTCTTTAACCTATAGACATGGACTGATCTTCTACTCTGTGAATGAGGGCTCCAGACACCCCGTTATTGTTCCCAAGGTGTATATGCAGCTTTGTAAAGGAAGCTGGCACCGAAACAATATCTTAAAATAACACCAAAGGAAACAGGAGCTAAGTCGAGGGACACTTTGCCAGCTCTTGAAGGAAAGATATTCATGCAGTCAGGGAAGATCGTTGAAGACTATTGAGAGGAAATTGGAGTTTGAAGGATGAATAAGACGCAGCCCTCTGAAAAGGAAAGGAGGTTTATATCATGCACATGTGCTTCCCGGCCTACCTGAAAGCTACTGACCTACTACAAATGATGTTCCACAGGAATATGGCTTCTGAAGATGCCCTGAACATATGGCAGGGCTAATATTTAAAGAACTTCTTAGATTCAAAGCAAAAAATTGTGAATCAGACATGTTCATTATCTCTGTAAGCTCACATTCAGAATGAACTATATGAACCAGGTAGGATAAAATTCTGTTACAGCTGAATGGATTTATGAGCTTGTTTTTGAAAATGAGATGATGAATGTAAGTACAATCTTTTTTCACAAAAAGCATTTCCCAGTTGTCCCTGTGAGAACTTAAGAAAGGTAACTGTAAGAAGGAAGAACTCAGTTGGTCTTAAAATCCAGTGCCATAGCATTTAGGAAGTGAACTCTGATGCATGGCCACAGAAAGGGAATGGATATCTACTGCAAGTGTTTGATTGACATGTGTCCTCTCACATCCAACGTGTGTCCTCTCCCAGGTCCAATCTGTGTCTAATTGATCATTTCTAGCATAGCTCATTAGAGGAGAAAAACTTGGTAAGATATAACCCAGTGAGCCAGAATGGGTTGATCTCATGCCAAACTTAGACTGTTCTGCTTTAGATAAGTCTACAAAAAAAAAAAAAAAAAAGAGGAATGCCAACTTTTCACCAAGTTTAAAACATGTCTAACAACATTAGGTGACAAAGAAAGTATCCATCTAAGGAGATAAAGAGCAGCAGACAGGCTCAGTCCCACCCAGGCTGTGAAGGGATTACTCTGGGAATGTTTTGGGCCTGTTTTGATTGAGGAAGTTGGCTGAGAATT